ATAAAATGGATAATTCCTAGAAAAATATAACTCTGAAATTAATATGAGAATAGAAGAAAATACACTATAACTTATTTTTATAAATGAATGCATAATTTAAAAACCTTCTATTAAACAAACAAACACAAAACCCCTTCAGGCTGAAATGGCCTCACTGGCAAGTTCCAACAAATATTTTTTTAAAAGATAAATAATGTCATCTGAAAGATGTCAAAGGAAAAAAAGACGAATCATTGTGAGGCTCACATAACCTTAGTACCAAATCCCAACAAGAGACTTCCACTTCCAGAAAGACATTCTTTTTTATATTCCTCTCAGTAAGTACAGCTAAAAAGGCTTGACATTGTAAATGAAGCACATAAGACAACTCTAATGTGGAGAGAGGAAGGCAGGCTGGACAGGGGCCTCAGACACAGGAAGGATGCAATGGTAAGTGGCCTGGGTTTCCTTTCTACTTCCTATATCTCAGGGTTTGTTGTTTTTTTCTTCTTCCTTAACCATTGTATTCTTAGGACCTCATAAAGTAGCAAATAGGAGGTGCTTGATGTGTGAATGAATGAATATCATGGAGTGATGTATCTATTAAGCATGCAGGGCTATAGAATTCATTATTGAAGAAAAAGCAAACTCAGTCCCCAATCTCTTTCAGTTTGTTATATCTCACCTAAGCATTGGCCAATTTAATGAGAACAGAGAGCTATACATAAGGAAGGGGAGAGAACCTGCTAAAACTCTAAGCACATAAGAAGCTCCTTGTTAGACAAGGATAGCTATGATAAGAGAGTCATTTTTCTTCCACAGAGTAAAGAAAAATACTGTGAGAAAAGCAGAATTTTAGGAAATCTGTGAATATGGAGGAGAATATTCCAAATCTAGGATTGAAGTATAGATTCTGGAAAAGAAATAAAGTATGAAATCTGCTTAGGCTAGATCAGATATATGGACCACTTTCCCAAATAACCCAAAAGCTGTCTTTTGCTGCTATAGACCCCAGGAGAGTGAAGAAAACAAGAAAAAAAGGAGAAAGAAGCAAGAATGAAAGATTTTCTATTCATCATTTTATATGAGAATATAAGCTAATCCAAAGCACCCAATGCCTAGAACACACTAAGTGTCAGTGAATGCTGGAAACCCACACACGAACGGCACCTGCTTGCAGGGCTGCCTGGCTGTGCAGCCCCAGCCCGTGTCCTTGGCTGTGCTGCCCGTATGGAAAGCACCACCCCCTGGATGTAATTCGCAAAGAACCTTCGTGGCCAAACACTGCAGCCCTGCGCCTGTAAATGTTTGCGTCTCCACAGCGTTATAGAACCACAGTCTTGATATCCACCAATATCCAGGCCGGCATGGTTCACCTTCCAGAAAAGCAAAGAAATATATAAAGGTGAGGTTAAGTGATTTTTCTGTGAGTTCGTATCCCAAGATTTATACCTGAAATGGATCCAGGCTACTGTGGGGGAAAGGGGTTACGTACAAGGGGATTGTCTGGACACTGTATAGATATTCTTTAGTTCTTACAAATTAGACTCTGATAAAGTCATTCTGCCAACTGATGTAACATGGCATTCCAATTGTAAATCAGTACAGGATGACTGTCTAAATTCTTCAGTGGATAACTTTATATTGAAATGACCTTTCATGAAATAGCTTTCCTTACAATTTCTACACATATTCATTTAGACACCCTGCCAGCATTAAAAGATAACCAAGCAGAAAGAGAAAAATCCTAATAAAATGACAATTTCCTTAGTTAATGTAATCAGATAGGGCAGCCACATTCCTTGTTAATATGAATTTAGTTCAAATAACTAAAGAGCTTTGTTCACTTTGTGATAAAATTAGATACTTGCAAAATAGGTTTCTGACAATTCGCATAAATTTATTTTTGTAATAAGCATTTAGAGCAGGAGGCTTTTCTAAATGTTAGCATTGGCATTAGGTGAGGATGAAATAACCTGACTTCTATAAAAGCACTTCATGAAATGCCTTGCTAGGTTTCAATGAAAGCAGTATGAGGTGTCTGCTTAGTAAGTGTGCCATTTTTTTTACCTTATTTTATGTATTGCCTTACTCAGACAACTTACCAACATAATCGGCCAACACACTTTTAAACCAGATCATCTCATCTAATGTTCAAGACTGAACGACAAGAGGAGTGAAAAGGGGAAAGTGCTTTAGTGTTCATTTGCCCAAGATTATTTTCTAATACGAAAATTGGACAGCTAGCAATAAGGCAGTGTTTCGCAAACTTACTTGCTCCTGAGATTTGCCTGGGGTGCGTGTTTATTTATCTTTATTTATTTTTACTTCTTGTGTATGTATTCACCACCCCCAATCAAGTCCCTGTTCGTTACCATTTAATGCTGCTATACCCTCCCCAGCCTCGTCCTGCCTACTCCTGGCAATCACCACACTGCTGTCTGTATTCATGAGTTTTTCTCTTTCTTTTCTCTTTTGCTCAATCCCTCCACCCTTCCCCAACAGTTGTCAGACTCTTTGAGTCTGTCTCTATTTTGATTGTTAGTTCAGTTTGCACATGAGAGTTCACATGCGTGTGGACTCATGAGTCCACATGTGTGTATTTGTGGTATTATGTCCACATGAGAGTCCACATGAGAGTCCACATTTGTAATACCACAAATACACATATGGTGTTTGTCTTTCTTTGACTGGCTTACTTCACTTAGCATAATGTTCTCTAGGTTCATATCCATGATGTCACAAAGGGGTAAGATTTCCTTTTTTACAGTCAAGTAGTATCCAATTGTGTAAATGTATGACAGCTTTTCTTATCCACTCATCCACTTACAGACCCTTGGGCTGCTTCCAAATCTTGGCTGTTGTAAATAACACTGCCATGAACATAGAGGTGCTTACAGTCTTTTGAATCAGTGTTTCTAGCTTCTTCTGATAAATCCCAGAAGTGGAATCACTGGGTCATAAGGCAAGTCCATTTTTAATTTTTTGAGGTAACTCCACACTGCTTTCCATAGTGGCTGTCCCATCTGCATTCCCACCCACAGTACAAAAGTGCTTCCCTTTCTCCACATCCTTGCCAAAACTTGTTTGTTGATTTATTGATGAGAGCCATTCTGACAGCTGTGAGATGGTATCTCATTGTGGTTTTAATTCACATCTCTCTGATGATTAGTGACACTGACCATCTTTTCATATGTCTATTGGCCAGCTGTATGTCCTCTTTGGAGAAGTGTCTCCTCAGGTCCTTTGCCCATTTTTTAAATTAAGACTGACTGTTGTTTAGTTGTATTAAGTTCTTTGTAAATTTGGGGTGTTAATCTCTTATCAGATGAATCATTGGTGAATATGTCCTCCCATTCAGTGGGCTTTCTTTTCATTTTGTTGATGGTCTCCTTTGCTGGGCACAAACATTTTAAAAGTACGGATTCCTAGGTCTCACCCCTAGCGGTGGTGGTCCCTGGGCCTGGGATGTGGCTCAGGGACGTGTATTATTAAAGCACCTGAATAAGGGGAAATGCTTGGTGTCGTGGAGGGAATGCTGACCTAGCCATCGAGTTCACAACACCGGGGTTGCCAGCTCTTCTGTTTGTGCTTAACGGAGTAGTTCTATCACCTTGGATCTGCATTCCCTCAGTTTTAGAAACAAAACAGAATGACTGGTTTTGGTCTATAAACCTGTGACTATAGGAAGCGTCCGGGTTTTGCTCACTGCTTGGTCCCCTGTGCCTTAACCTGATGCCTGGCAAAGAGCGGCCTCTTTGTTAGTATCTGTTAACTAATTTACTATCTAGGCAACCTGTGAGATTACTTTCAATTTTAAAAATTATATGGTTGTAAAATGAGTAAGTAATAAAACAATTCATTTGGTCAACCACTTAAAAAATAACAACTATTCCCAAAACAAAACATAAAACCCAAAGGCCCCCACTGCTTTCCCTGGTTTCAGGGTTGCACGCTCCTGGTGAAGCACCCGGCGTGGGTGATTGGATTTCCTGGCTTCCTCACAGTTGCCGTGATGGTTAATGTAATGAAGTGGAAGCATGTGGCACAATGTGTAAGTGAGAAAAGTGAGTGGAATCTGGGAAACTCAGTCAACTCTGTGGAAAACGGAATGAGTTCTCCTGCTACCCATACAGGAATGCTGTAGTGATTGCATGACTTTTAAGATTTTGTTACTTTAGTCTCAAAACATACTGTCAAATAACAAGCCCAGAATTATCAGGAACCTTCCCAGGCACAGGTGGATTATACAGAAATAAGTGCTTTTAAAAATGACTATGGAGGAAAAATAATCCCTGAAAAGTTTACTTTAAAATTAAATACTATAAATAATTAAAAAAAAACTTTTATTGAAGTATCCATTTCCCTCCTCCATATATTTAGTATCCAGTAGAACGTAAAGAAGTGGTTTTCAAAGTGTGGTCCCCACACCAGCAGCATCAGCATCGCCTTGGCAATGCAGCTTCGTGAGCCCTGCTCCAGACCAAATGAAATGTGGATATGGGACAGTAAAATCCATGGTCCACGTCTTCCAGGTAACTGTGATGCACACTGAAGTATGGGACCCAATGACTTGAGGTAAATGGGATTATAAAAACAAATTCCAAGAAGACTGAGTTCTACTTTCTTTTGTGTAAACTCCTACAGTGTACCAGATTAAAAAAATATATATATCATATATCTATTCAACTGCATAGCAAGACATTTAATTCTCAAACATATAATAAACACATTTTTGTATAAGTTTTCTTCTTTTGAAAAAAATATCTAAAATTCTGAGCTTGAATGAAAACAATATAAACCACTGGCTTTTAGGATATGTAAGTCATTATTTCTCAATTTTATAAGTGAAATATAAATTTTTAATAAAACATTACCAAGTATCACCAAATTTAATTTTAATGTTATTAAAATCACAATAAAATGAGATTATGAATATACAATGCAAAGTCACAAGTTTTGTTTTTTTTAATCCAAATAGCAATTCTGATTTGGAACTAGTGATGTGTATGATTCTCAGGGTAACTAGAGATCATAAATTTATAGTTCTATGTTATAAAAAAAACCTCTCAGCTGCAGAATTCTGAAAATCTTAAAATTACATTTTCCAGATACCAGCGAAGAGGAAAGAGACTTTCGGTGTGAGGGCAGAGTGCAGCTGGGAGCACTGGTGAGAGAAACCGAGATCCGCTCACTGTCACCCTCTTTGGGTGCAAGTGAAGAACTCCGAGAGGCCGCGGTGAGAAGGTTACAGAATGACTGCCCATGCTACCTTATTCTACAGCTTGGAGAACATGCCTCTTAAGTATGTTTTTCCAACATTTCCCCCCCCCCAGCCCTAGAATTCACCAAAAGAAAGGGGTTGACTTAAATGTAAAGGAGAAGAAACGAATCAATTCCTCTGTCACAGCTCCTAGTCCGGGACGTTAAAGGGCAGCATGCTGATGACCTCTCCAGACTCGGTGACGATGGCGTCATACACCCACTTGCGGCTGCAGCGGCACTCGGGCCCGCACTTGTTGGAGTTGCACTTGGGGCAGGGGTAGAAGCAGCCCAGGCAGTTCTTCTCCAGGCAGTCGCACAGGTCGGCGTCGTTGCAGATCAGCCTGCCGCTTTTGTCATACTTCCTCACAACTCTACAAAGGAAAACAGTGACACTAACATGACAGCGAAATTTTCCTCAACGTTGAGGATAAATTATTGTGCAGCAAACTTCACTAATATGACTCTTTTACACGGAGGAGATTACCCAGCAACACTTCAGAACATTATATGGCAATGATGTCCTGGGAAATTCCGCCATATGTGATCAATTTCCAATGCAGCCAGTCTTGTCACCGAGAATAATAAATATTTCACTTATTCCATCGAAGCAAATTATGAGGAATAACTGATTAAATATTCCTTCTATAGATGCTCCAATTTTTCCTTTAAATTATAACCATTCTTGATGGAATTATCCCGAGTAAATCGTACTTTTTTTTTCTTTCTTAAGAAAAATGCCCTATAGACTACATTACATTTTTAAATGTCAGGCATTGAACCTTACTCAGTTACTATGCCATCATCATTACAAAAGTAAATTAATAAACAACTCCTTAGCTAACAGTGCCTTAGCTTCTGTTCCTTTCTGACTGTTTTTCACCAGTGTAGAGGAAGAAAACAGGTGGCTAGGTGGTGGGATCCGCTGTAAACCCTGATTGGAGGTAAGAATTCTGGACCGACGAGAGCACCAGAGTCTACACCTTGCTTCAGGTTCCAACATTTTCTCTGTCAGCCTCTAAAATACATCCAGGAGGCAAAAGGCTTTCACAAGAATTCCCACACCCTCTCAAAACCAACCAATTTGAAATAAATCCTTCAAAACTGAGCTGCTTGAAAGTCTTAGAATAACAAAAGGGTCTTTGTGCAGCCTGTATCCATTACTACCAGATGAAGTCAAAAAAGGCTGTGAAATTATGAACTGCATCCTGGGTTCCCAAGCAGGCATAACACCCCCCTTCCTCTTCAGTTAGGTGATGCTGTTCTGTCCTCTTCCCCCTCCTAATAAAGCAGGGGAGGTTGAGGACCATTATGTATACTTGCTGCCTGATTACCACACTTGAGTGGAATGCCTTCCAACAAGGATTTACATTTGAAGCATTTATTCCATGGAATGGAAGCTCCCCCACCAACTCCCAAGCCCATCAGGATATTCAGACGTCAGCTGAATTTAAAATCTATTACGGGAGTTATGGGAGTGGGAGGCCATCAAACCAAAAGAGAAGTCAGATTCTTCCCTTCTCCCTAGGCCTTAACCCAAATACACCCTTGTCTTAACTCAGACATCAAGATAGATTTTACAGTTTCCTGCCCACTGATACTATCTTATGTAAAATTCTTAACTATCATACATACAAAAGTATATAAAACATACATACAAAGATAAAAAAGAAAAATGAAACCAGCTTGTATGCTCACTGCCCAGTTTAATGAGTGTTGTACCTTCAAGGTCCTCTTTATGCCCCATGCATGGCCGCCCTCCACCCAGCCCTCCGAGAGGAGCCACACCTCAATGTAATAAAAACCATCTTCTTATTTTACTTAGTTATGCCACATGTCTATGTATGCCCAGGCATACTGCATTTTTCCTCTTGTAATTTGAGTTTTTAATTCTATTGCGTGATTTGAGATGAATCTCTGATGGTGCATGTAGCTATATTCAAATATTTTTACTTCTATATGTATTCCACTGTATGAATATACTAGTTACTTATCTTTTCCATTATAAATGGGCATTTGGATTATTACTATTTTATTTTCTTTGCTATTGTAGTGATGTTATGAAACTTCATGAACATGTCCCCTATTGTACAATGTGTGTATAGCAGTTTTTTCATGAGTAAAAAGATGTTAGGCCATAAGTGTTATAGGTAATGCCAAGCTGTTTTAAATACAGTGGTCCCTCATCGATCGAGGGAGTTACATTCAGAGACCCCTGCGATATGTGAAAATCCACAAAGTAGCGGTGTTATATTTATTTTATTATTTATATATATTTTAAGGCTTTATAAACCCTTCCCACACCCCTATAAATCTTTCCCACTCTCTTATTAACCTTTCCCACACTCTTATAAACACTTCATATGCTCTTAAACACATTCTACACTCTTAAACCTACGTAACTTGAACAACATATAAAATTCTATATGGTACTCACCAGTGAAGTATACAGTCATCCTTTGCCATATCGCAGTCCACTTATTGTGGCTTCACTGTATCGTGGGTTGGCCCGCTGTACCATGTTACAGTCAATTCATTTCCCATGGCATCATCAACACTGGTATCATCAGACTAAACTCTTTGCCTGTCTGGGGAGTGGGGCACTTCTCCCTATGCTATTGATGGGGTACAGTATCCTGAGAGTTTGTTAGCCTTTTCTTCTATGAAATGCCTGTTCACTGTTCAGTTCATCTTTCTCAGAGGAAGTTTATTTTTTTATTACATTGTAGAATTCTCTACATATTTTGGATACTAACCTTTTAAATTATAAGTAACTTCTCCTACCTTGTGACTTGTGTCTCATTATTTTTAGGATGTCTTTTAATGGGTATAATTCTTAATTTTAATGTAGTAGAATTTATCAACCTTTTTCTTTATAATTTACTTAGTTTATACTTCTGATGCACTAGTAATCATTGTATGATACTTCATGTCCATTTGATACCTGAATCTGCTCCCATAGTTACATTATTTCTCTTTCAAATAATATATCTTTCTTCCTTTTATCCTGTATTCTACTAAAGTTGTTACTCTAATCCAAGGGCTTCTGCACTGCAGCCTCCCTATTTTTTCTGTACCCTTTTAAAAAGTTGATTTCTAGTTTGGGCTTACAGTCTATTTCTTGAAGTTACTAGCTTCCAGACCATGGGGTGATACTGTACTTTAGAAAACATATTTTTAAATTATAAACAAGGGTCAACCAACCATCGATTACTTTACCAAGGAGAATGCATGCATTTTATTATCCCACAGATCAAATATGGTAAATGGGGATCTTACTTGTATTTTGCAGAAAAATACTCATTCATCTTTGACATCCGGGCTTTCTTTTTCTGCTCTCGAGTTTCAGGATTGAAGTCTGCTACCTGTGGTCCGGGGTTTTGAAATGCCAAGCATCTTAACTGCCGCTCTATCTGTTGCTATGAAACAAATAAAATGTATTAGTAGTAAGAACTGGGTGGTTTAATCAGTCTTACACTGTATCAAAATAAATTTTCTGTAACTTTTACCGTAATGGCATGAAAGGATAGACACTATTACCTGAAGAAAAAAAACAGAAACTTAATCTGATTAAGTTTCAAATGATGATGTAAATCTCCTCAGTTTAGGTTATTTTTCTGAACAACAACAAAAAATCTATAGTATAAAACTTATATAATAAAATGTAAAAAACAACCCAATAAGAACAGAATTTTTTCACACCTGCAAAACACTAGTTGTCTTCTCAAATATCATGGGGATGAAAGTCAGAATTAGCACTTTAGGGTGGAAAAGGACAGGGGAGAAAAGGCCCCTTCACAGTTGTCACCTGAAGAAGCCCTGGGAAAGTGTGTCAGGTCACAGGGGGAGCCGAGTGCACACAGCCCTCCCCTTCAGTGCTGGGGGACATTTCAGAACTACTCACTAGCCTGGAACGTGGGCTCCATCATGGCTCCGATGCAGAACTCTGCCAACTGAAGTTTACATTCTCAGTCAAAGCTCCAATTTGAGGAAGCAAATCTTGTTAGAATGGCTTTCTAGAGTGTTAGTGCAAATTTTCAAAAGTCTCTAGGGACATTCTAAATTAAAGGGGGCCTAATCAGGAGGACAAGTAATGAAGATGCTTCAATCAATCCTGGTAACTTATTTTGAACACATAGCACATATGTCATGAGGGAAGGAAATGCTCTTCTGAAGGATTTTAGAAGAAAGTAACCTGAGTAGCCCAAAAATATATAGGCTAATAGAAAGGGGTGGGAAAAGTGGGTTTACAGTCGTTAGTATGGCCAGTGATACAACACACAACAAAGAGGAGATTCAAGGTGGTGGTAGACTGGGTGGATGTTACCATCACTTCCTTCCAGAACCCACCTGCAATTACAACTAAAGTACAGAGCAATCCACCTGATAGCCATCTGAAGACTAGCTGAAGAGAAGTCTTATGACCAAACATTTAAAGAAGTCACATCAAGACTGGTATGAAGGTCAGAGAAGTAACTGGAAGCTTGTTAAAAGTGACAGAGAAGTAACAACTGACATAAAACAAAATTACAAAGGATTGTAAAAAAAAAATACTATGAACAAGTATGTGCTAACAAATTGGCAATCTGGATGAAATGGATAAATTACCAGAAATATACAATCTTCTAACACTGAATCAGGGAGAATCAGAAAATCTAAATAGATTATACTCAGTGAAATCAAAGCAGTAATTAACAAAAAAAAAAACAACAAACCTCTCACAAACAAAAGTCCTGGACCAAATGGACCAATATTTCCAAAGAACCCAAAGCAGAAACTGATGAACAACATAGAAATAGGGGTATGAATATATGGAACAGACTGTCAGCTATCAGAGGGAAGGGGGATTGGGAAGGCTGGATGAAAAGAGGTGAAGAGATTAAGAAAAAAACCCATATACAACATACAGACACAGACAACAGTGCAGTGATAGCCAGTGGGAAAGGGACCAGGGGTAGCAGGGGTGGCCAAAGGGGATAAATAGGAATTGGAAGAAACTTTGGGGCTTTGAGTACATGAAGCAGTGTGCAGATGATGTTTTGTTAAATTGTACACTGGAAACCTGTAGGTTTTGTGAACCTATGTCACCCCAATAAATTCAATAAAAATAGTTAAAAACAATATATACACCCATATTTTCATTGCAAGGTTATTATAAATAACCTAGATAGAGAAGCAGTCCAAGTGCCCATCAGTAGATGAGTGAATAAAAAAGCTGTGGTACAGTTACACAATGGAATATCACTTACCCATAAGAAAGAAGGGAATCTTACTTTTTGCAACAGCATGAATGGACCCGGTGAGTATTATGCTAAGTGAAATAAGCTAGTCAGAAAAAGACAAGTATCATATGATTTTACTTATATGTAGAACCTAATGAACAAATTTAAACTAACAAACAAAATAGAGACAGATTCAGAGATACAGAGAACAGCCAGCCATCAGAAGGGGAGAAGGTATGCAGAGCTGGGTAGAAAAGGTGAAAGGATTAAGCACAAGTAAAAAAAAAAAAAACCTCAGTTTCAGACAACAGTATGGTGATTACCAGAGGAAAAGGGGGGCAAGTGGGGGGTAGGGGGCTGTATAAGAGAGTAAAGGGAGATAAATGGTGATGAAAGAGATTTGACTTGGGGTGGTGAACACACTACAATATATGGATGTTGTATATAGAGTTGTACACCTGAAATGTATTTAATTTTATTAATCAATATCACCTCACTAAATTCAATTTAAAAAGAAATTAAAATTCTGTTACTATGTATGGTAAAAGAAAAAATAAGATAATACAACAATTAATAAATAATAATAAAAGAATAAACTCTTTTACAGATAGAACCATAAACCTACTTTTGCCAATCCCCACATACAAGAAATACTATACTAGAAACAAAAGAGAATCTTTCAATATATAAATTTTACGTGACAAATTAGTAACAGAATTTCAGGCTTTTCTAAAGTTTATTTAGTTTAATAATAGTCTGGTCAGTCCAAAATAATGTAAATATATTAGAAATATAAATAATATAAAGTTTTTAAAATTCCAATTTGTGTGTGTGTACAAATTTGTTTCACAATCTTAACCTTATGAAACAATTCTGTATTTAGGTATAGCTATGAAATGAGTACACTAGTTCCATCTATTACTATTCTCAGCAGCATAGGTAGAGTTTGAAAACACAGACAGCAGAGTAAGCCATTCTATGTTCTAATCTGACCTCTACCACATGGTAATGGTGTGTCTTGAGCAAGTTCCTACTTCTCTAAGCTGAGTTTCTCCTTTTGTGAAATGGGGTTAACAATAGTATCTTGTGATAAGGATTAGATGAATTAATATATACCAAGTTTTAGGACCACGACTAGCACATAATAGGGAAAAAAAAACCCCAAAGGTTAAATAAAAACACTCGAGCATATTTTGCAAAATATTCTACTCTAAAGGGCACAGTACACGGGGCTAAAAATCAGGAGACTGAGAAGCACAGAGGAGCTAGGTGAAGTGAGGCAGCTTAGCAGTGAGCAGTTAAGAGGGGAGGCAGAAGTCCTTCCTGAGGAGCCTTGACTGAGCACACCTTCTCTCCCACGCCTGGAGCCTCCAAGATCCCCATGCTAGGAACTCCCCAAATACCATGGAATCATAGTATCCATATGCCATACCAGTTGCTTTTGTCCGATTTCACAGTTTTTCTCAGGAGAACTTTGATCTGTGTGTTCTTCTTCAGTGGAATTGTTTTTTTCTGATTGTTCACTCATTTCTGACCATTAACAAAAGTAACTAGAAAAAAGCAAAACACATTAATTTTATATACATCTCCAGTAACTTTATCCTGTGACTTCCTTGCTCTCTCCCTACATCTTTCTTTCAAAGCCAGACTTCCACTTGCCTTCCCAGTTTCTTTCTTTTTATTTTATTGTTGTTCACGCACAGTTGTCTCCACTTTCCTCTCACCCCTCCCCTGCTCCACCCACCCCTCCCCTGCTCCACCCACCCTCACTTCCTACCCTCAATCCTACCCCCTTTTGGCTTTGTCCATGGGTCCATTATACATGTTACTGATGGCCATTCCCCTCTGTCCCGGGTTATCCCCCTCCCCCATTCCCCTGGTAACTGTCAGTTTGATCTGTATTTCACTGTCTCTGGTTCTATTTTGCTCGCTTGTTTGTTTTGTTGATTAGGTTCCACTTATAAGTGAGATCATATGGTATTTGTCTTTCACCAACTGGCTTATTTCACTTAGCATAATGCTCTCCAGTTCCATCCACCTTGTAGTGAAGGGTAGGAGCTCCTTCTTCTGTATAGTATTGCATTGTGTAAATGTACCACAGTTTTTTGGTCCATTCATTTACTGATGGGCACTTAGGTTGCTTCCAGCACTTGGCTATTGTAAACTATGCTGCTATGAATATTGGGGTGCATAGGTTCTTTTGAATTGGTGTTTCAGCATTCTTAGGGTATAATCCCAGCAGTGGAATTGCTGGGTCAAAAGGCAGTTCCATTTTTAGCTTTCTGAGGAAATTCCATACTGTTTTTCACAGTGGCTACACCAGTTTGCATTCCCACCAACAGTGTACTAGGGTTCCCTCTTCTCCACAACCTCGCCAGCACTTGCTGTTTGTTGATTTGTTTATGATGGCCATTCTGACCAGTGTGAAGTGGTATTTCATGGTGGTTTTAATTTGCATCTCGCTGATGCCTAGTGATGCTGAGCATCCTTTCATATGTCTCTGGGCCCTCTGTATGTCCTCCTTGGAGAAGCATCTGTTCAGGTCCTTTGCCCATTTTTTAATTGGATTGTTTGTCTTTCTGGAGCAGAGTTGTGTGAGTTCTTTATATATTTTGGAGATCAAACCTGGTTTCTTTTTTATCCCTCACTTTTTTTAATTGTTTGTTTGTTCATTCATTTTGCTTTTTAGGTACCACATATACCATATTTTTTGGACTATAAGACACACTCCCCCCGCCAAATTTGGGAAGCATAATGGTTGTTAATGCTGCTGTTGAGTTCTGTTTACATTTACATTGATAAAATATTATGTTATTTATATTATTAAATATTTTACTACATTTTTTGCTTCAAAATCTTTTTCTCTATTTTCCTCCTTTAAAACCTAGGTGCATCTTATGGTCCGAAAAATACGAGTAAGTAAAATCATGTGGTATTTCTCTTTCTCTGAATTACCACTCACTTTTAAATCCTGTATCTCACTTCCCAGGCCACATTACTGATGTTTGTCTTTGCTGGTGTTCCATCAGCAAATCAACAGTACCTTTTACAGTCAGCACCACAGACCTTGCTGGATCGGGGAACACTGGGACCATCTTCTCCTATCTAAGAGGACTGTGAATTCTACACCCCTGCTTTCCCCCTTTACGCTCCCTTAAGAAAGGTAAGGCGCATTAATGTCCTATATCCCCAGTAAGTTTGTGGATACCTTAACCACTCCCATGGTTGCAGTTATCTCCTCTTTGGAGACCATTCCCTGTTGGGAACCGCCCTGACTGGTATCAGAAGCTGAAACCCCCACCTAGGCTAAGGCTAAGGGAACACCCTTGGAACCTTAAGCCAGCAAGGAGACAAAAGCTTATCTCCCTGGCAGGAATGCTGCTTCTGCTGCTTTATTCATAACTGAACCCCCCAAAAAGCTTGGTCGGTTAGCCAAAGATGGGTAAGATTCCCCAAGGGGGGAATGACCTAAGACAGGCACGGTCACTTTGGGAGGCCCCCCAAAAGAAGGACTTGGGGGGCTGCAGCAAAAGGGGGTGATGGACCCTCGCTCCTCAGCTTTGACATAGCCTGAGCTCTCTTTGTCTGGGAGAAAACCTCCTTATCTCTTGGTTGCCTTAGTTCCCTTGCTCCACCTAAGCCTGAAACAATGACAGGGTGGTGCACCTCTGTGCTGGAAAGGGCGGGTTCCCTGGGTGATCAGGCCTAAGAAAGAATATGTAAATTCCTGTGAAACCTTTTTTGTTTAGAATGCTCTCAGTTGAATGAGAAGGGTCTTAGGAGGAAGTTAGTTTGTTCCTCAAAGTCTTACAGCTCTTTGACCCCAACTCAATAGACTGGCAGAGTTCCTTGTTTTCTACAGTTCCTTACTTCCCCCTAATGAGTACTGTACTTTACCTGAATTATTATGCAAAATGAGCCCAATAAAAGCAGGTATGGATGGTAAATCAGCGCGCTCCTCACTAAAAGGGGTGGCCATTTCGTCCCTGCTTCCCCACAGAAACTAGTTTGTCTCTGTGCATGTTTTTTCTCGCATGTTTATCGTCGAGCCATCCGCAGCGTTCCGTGGTCACTGCTGGCCAGTGACCCACGCAACAATTCCCTAGACTGTCATCCTCACTCAGTCCCTTGAAAAATTTCTAATACAGCTTGTGCTAAATGGGAGTCATTACTTTTCAATAAAACTCAGCTGCTAAAATGCCTATAATTTTCTTTGAAATATTTCAGTGTATATATAGGGTGCCCGTGTATGTGTGTGTGTGGGTGTGTGGGTATTACTTAGGTGAAGCTAACACAGGATGGTAATCACAAATGCATGATCAGGGCTGCTCTGCAGATTCTGTCAGGAAAGAATACACTCCAGAGAAGGCTTCCACAGCCCTGCTGCTTTCCCTCTCCTCCCTGCTCCCCGCAACTGCTGGCACTGGCTACAGAGTCCTGTTTCTACTGGAGGAAACTAGAAGTTATGCTTTACTAAGTTGGCCTGAGTCATTTGGCACCAATACTCTGCCTGCCAACAGGAAATTCCACTTCTATCAATGCACCTTCATTCTCCCTATGATTAGTGGGTCACCGGCCAGCAGTGATCACAGAACGCTGTGGATGGCTCATTGAAAAACACACGATAAAAAAACATGCACAGAGACAGACCAGTTTCTGTGGAGAAGTAGGGACAGAATGGCCACCCCCTCTAGTGGGGAGCGTGCCGATTTACTGTCCAAACCTGCTTTTATTGGGCTCGTTTTGCAGGGTAATTCAGGTAAAGTACAGTACTCATTAGGGGGAAGTAAAGAATAATAGATAACAAGGAATTCTGAGGGTCTATTTTGAGTCAGGGTCAAAGAACTGTAAGACTTTGAGGAACAAACTAACTTCCTTCTTGGACCCTTCTCATTCAACTGAGAGCATTCTAAACAAAGAAGGTTTCACAGGAATTTACATATTCTTTCTTAGGCCTGATCACCCGAGGAATCCACCCTTTTCAGCACAGAGCTGCACCACCCTGTCATTGTTTTAGGCTTAGGTGGAGCAAGGGAACTAAGGCAACCAAGAGATAAGGAGATTTTCCCCCAGACAAAGAGAACTCAGGCTATGTCAAAGCTGAGGAGTGAGGGTCCATCACCCCCTTTTGCTGTAGCCCCCAGAGTCCTTCTTTGGGGAGGCCTCCCACGTGATTGTGCCTGTCTTAGGTCATTCCCCTCTTGGGGAATCTTACCTGTCTTTGGCTAACCGACCAAGCTTTGGGGTTCAGTTTTGAATGAAGCAGCAGAAGCAGCATTCCTGCCAGGGAGATAAGCTTTTGTCTCCTTGCTGGCTTAAGGTTCCAAGGGCGTCCCCTTAGCCTTAGCCTAGGCGGGCGTTACAGCTTCTGATACCAGGCAGGGCGGTTCCCAACATCCCTATGTCTAGGCTCACTAGACATCAACTACCCACTTTTCTGTATCCCCCTCTCCAATTAATTCCCAACACTAGGTTAGGAAGTATATTGATTTTTCTCTCCTATATTCTCAATATTGATTCTTCCTTTCCACTCTCTGTCAGATGTCATCCACCCTGAAGACAGTAGTATAAGTGACAATACTTTACCCTTGACCAAGAAATCCTTAATGTTCCTGTTGATAGAGGATTTAAGAGTTGGAAAATTTTAGTTTAGGTAATAGCTAATAAGCTTAGTAATCAGTACATGTAAAAGCTTTTGTTTCAGGAACTGAAGGTATGACCCACCCTGACTCCAGCAGACTGTAAGCAGTTACATCTTTGTGCCTCAGGAGGACTGCAAGCAATTAAGATGATATCTGAGCCACTGTACTCCAGGGTGAGATGATCACAGCCCAGGTAGAGAATGCTGAAGTCTTTTTTTTTTTTTAATCCAATTAACTTTTCCCTGAATTGCAATCCCCTTACCTACACTTTGTTCTCCTTATAAAAAGGGCCATTCTAAAGTGGAATTTAAGATGGTCTGTTAGAGTATGAACCTGCCATTTTCTCAGAACACTGGCCATCTGAATAAAGTGCCCATAAAGATTCAGTCGCTGTCAGTGCTTATTGGGCTTGGTAGTGACAGGCAACCTGAACTCTGGTGTCTTTTCTGGTCAGCTTGACTAACCTTCAGACAAGTTTCTTTCTAATTGCAGACCTCTGACCTCCCTCTTCTTACAGCACTTAGTTCAGAACTTATAATTGTAAATTTTTTCTTCCCCATTGAGATGTAAATCATCTCCCAGACTCTCATACTTTTACAACCAAACAGGGTCCTCGTCAAGGATTAGGAGCCATCCCTTAGAAATGTAATCAACTGGAAAGATAGTATCCCTATCTGGTGGGCACCAATTACCAAACACAGGTGGCCAAATCACAGGAATAAACATTAACAAAATCAGGAACAAGTCATGTGCTCTACACATCCCACTGATCTCTCTCCCATAAAGTAATATACTCTAGTATTTCCTTCCTCCCTGTTGAAGTGGAGGTAAGTTCAGGTTTTTCTCCCCTATTACAATAGCATTGAATAAGTCTTCACTGCCTTTGTCTAGTGCAATTTTTGCTTTGA